CCTTTGCTTGATTCAACACTGTAAATACCAAAAGCAGATGACATGGTATTTTCCTTAAATGTACATACATGTGTACTCATGCACACACCCTTTTGCTGAAAATGGACTTCTGAAACTGGAAATGGATCTGAAGCATGGCCCTCATTTATATTTAAAACTTCCATTAAGCATGATATGCATAGACGATGACGGTGGTAGGGTTTTCCTGGTCACAGTCACGTTAGAAATTATAAATCAATTAATGAACTGAGTAAGTTCTGTACATTTCTCATCTAATTTATACTTTTCATTATTAAAATCGGCAGAAGGGTACAAACAAATGGGCAGTATAATCAGACTGACAAAATCAAGTATTGATCTAAAGCTGATATAAAATAATACCCCCCCCCATTATACGGCCACCTCTTCTGCACCAGGAAAGTGGCCTTATAATACGGGTGGTCTTTCCAGAGGCAGACTACATTTTTTGAGAGAAGTATATGTAATGTACGTAGAAAGAAAGCTACATTCTTCATAGTATTTAATATCTTCATTTAATATCTTTATTTAAAAGTAACATTAATTATTAAAATGTTCTTCTTGTTATAATAACAGACTTTTTTTTCAACTGAATATGCATTAACAGGTCTTATTCCTGGCATAAGCATGATATGCGAGTGGATGTTGTTGTCATACACATTGCAAAAACCATTCAAAAGTGTCATTTAAATCTTGGTGCATTTTTAATTCTCTTTACATTTGCTCCATTTTCCCACTGCTTCTGAATAACCTCATTATCACTTATGATGTTGTTTAATCAAGTCTTTTCAACATAAAATTGTTTTATTTGAGTCTTTTCTACCTACAATTGTTCTTTAAGTCCCACCTCCCCATCTCACCCAATGTCGTCAAGTAGAATAACCAACTCTTTTCCTTAAAAATTTGTCTCCATTTACGTGATGACATGTTAATGTTTGGTAATGATCTATTCAGATGTTGCTAACTGCATGCGATTTAATTATACAGACAAAACTTTTGTGGAGCAGACAAAATGCCATCTTCATAAAGGAAGTGATAAATCTGTTGTCATGTCTTTGTCTGGTACCCTGTTTCTTCAAATTTTGTTTGGAGGGTGCTCTCCCTGGTTGATCTTTTCAGACCATTTAGAAACCCTGATCCTGCCCTACATGTTAAAAATTGTGCTATTGTATATATTCTATTCTAAAGTGGTATATATTGTGGCATTATACTTATTTCTATTATGTAATGATTGTCTAATAAGTGTGTATATATGTAATTTTAATTTTTTTTAATCATGCCATTCACCATCAAGAGTTTCATCTTCTTTTCCATTGTTATCAAGGTCTTTTTTTACATTTCTATTTGTTTCCTCCATTTTGCTCTGCTTTTGTCCTCTCTCTCTCTCTCTCTCTCTCTCTCTCTCTCTCTCTCTCTCTCTCTCTCTCTCTCTGTGATTGATGTTTCAGTCAAAATATTCTTTGATGATTCTGTTGGTTTGGAACCTGTTGTTGCTAGGGTTAAGGCTATCTCTACTTGTTTGTTATTTGGTAGGTTGGTGTCACTATAATTTGCTTCATACTTTTTATGCTGTTGTTGTTGTGAAGTTAGATTTTTTTTCTAATGTTTTCACTTCCTTCTGTAGTGTTGTCCCTTCTAAAAGGTATTGATACCATTACATTTGTTTGGGCCCTTTTTGGTTCTCTTAATAATGATGCTTTGTTTGACTTTTGTTGTTTCTGCTCTTGTATTTCTATTTTTCTGGTGGATTTCTCCCTGTTGTATTTGTTGATTTTTCTTGGTCATATTAAGTATTGTTGATGTTTCTCTGGATTGTTGTTCTGGATGTTGTAGTTGTTTTTGTTGTTGTTCTCTAGTCTCTTGTTGTTTCTGCTGTTGTATTTATTGAGTTTGCTTATTAAGTGTTAATGATGTTTCTCTGGATTGTTGTTCTAAATGTTGTAGATGATGTTGCTGTTGTTCTCTGATCTTTTCTTGGTTCTTGGTGTGGTTTTCTGTGTTTTTAGGACATTTATGTGGAGTGTGTCCTTTCTTCCCACATTTGCTGCATATTCTATCATATATGCACTCATTGTACCACAATTTGGTTAAAAATCCAAAATAGGTAAAATGCCTGTTGCACTTTTCTCATTTTGCTTTTTTCAATTTCAAAATTTTTTATTCCATTGTATATCTTTGTCAAGGGAATAGTTGCTAGTTTTGATGATATAACTTTCATCTTGAACTACACTTCAGACTTTTCTACTTTTGTTTGCAAAGGTACTTCTAATGGGATATCAGATAAATGAACTCTCCTGTTTGCTTCTTTATTTTCTGCATGATTGGTGTATGTTCCTTTGCTGTAATTGGTTATCCTTTAATTGTCATTTCCTCATATGGTAGTATGGGTTGTATCACTCTTGGTCTTAGTATCTTTTGTATCCGTTCGGGTTGATAGAGTATATTTGTTTTACATAGTCCGGGTGTAGAACCTTGATTGCTATCATGACATCTGCCATTCCTGGTACCAATTCTCTTGGTATCTTTGACATATCCAATTCCTGCATCCCTTCTCTGTATAAACATTCTAGATATGATCCTTTAGTTGTCTCTATTCTTCTTGTCTTGAAAAATTTCTCCATTTGTCTAACTCCCTTTTCAGCTTTATGGACAGCCATTTTCTCCTGAACACCTCATTCTTATGAGTTGATTTCACCATTCATTTTCCTGTAGAAATCTGTAATTTTTTTTAGTTATACTTTGTTTTATCTTGTAGTTTGTTTTGTCTTGTAGTTTTTTCTAGAATAATTTATTCCAATGAATTGCTATATGTTGATGATTTTATCTCATGTCTGCTTTGTCCAGGCCATTTTTCAGATTTAATTCTTGACTTCACTCTTTCAAACAGGACTTTCAGAATATGTTTTTCAATGTTAATGTCTGTGTGTGTGTGTCTGCACAAAATCTATTTGGAGCCTTATAATGCTGACCCTGTTATGACAATAAACTTATTTCAACTGAATATGCATTAACAGTTCTTATTCTTGGCATAAGCGTGATATGAGAGCGGGTGTTGTTGTCATGCACATTGCAAAACATTTCAAAAACATCATTTAAATCGTGGTACATACATAATTCTCTTTCCATTTTCTCCATTTTTCCACTGCTGATGAATAACCTCCTTATTGGTTATTATGTGGTTTTTTCAACATGAAACTTTTTTAATCAAGTCTTTTCTACCTAACATTGTTCAGCAAGTCCACCCTCCCCACCTCAACTGATGTCATTGAGTAGAATAACTGACTTTTTGCTAAAATAATCATCTCCGTTTATGTGACATGTTAATGTTTGTTAATTATTCTTTTCTGATGTTGCTAACTGTATGCGATTTAATTATGCAGATGAAACGTTTAAAGAGCTGACAAAATGCCTTCATAAAAAAAGTGAAAATGTGTTGTCACATGATTGTTATGTCTTTGTCTAGTACCCGTTTTGTTCAAGGTTAATTTCCCTGTGTGTGTCTGCACAAAATCTATTTTTATCCTATACTGACCCTGTTATAATCTTGATAATCATCAATGTTGCCAACTACAAGACTGAGAAAACAATTTTTCTGCTTTCAAACAAAATGCCATGTGTGTTTAAGGACAGCAATCTTGTCACATGATTCATTAGTTGCAGTCTGGTACCCTATTGATTTTACATTTCTATACACTAAGTGAGAGAAGCAAAAGCTGCTTGATATGTATGCAGAGTTGAACTGAACAATAGCACCTTGTGACCATTAGGATTTGTAACCTTGACAAGTATTGTCAGTAGTAATAGCCACTAATTATGAAAGTGAACAAGCTCAACATCTTACTAAGGGAAGCCATAAAGGCTATCAAACAGTTTTTCTGCTGACTTGTGTATTGTACATCAATACCAGCTCTTCTCAGCTGTTACAACTTTTCACAAATTGTAATCTTAACAATTATCAGAGTGATTAAACCAGACATCTCATGAAAACACAGCAGAAAGGGTACTTGGATTAAGTGTACTTAATTTTTTGTATTGATAAACATTTTAGTCTTTCTTGGCTTTTATTGAAAAACTGTGGCTTCTTGGAAATCATAAATGATATATTAACCTTAGTGGTAAATATACTTAAGTAACATTTCTTTCAGTAATGAAAACCTGACCTCGGGAAACAGAAATCAGATTAATAAACACATGTTATGAACAAAATATCGGTTCTGGATACATACTACAAAATAAAATGTGGCAGCTTCTGTGGGGTAAATTTTATATTTTTGCACTAATATGCTGGCGCTGGTTGCAGGGTGACCTTTCATGACAGGTACTTTTGAACACAAAATTCGTCGGTGCCGACAAATTCTGGCCATAAGGAGTTTGTGGCTGCTGGTCACTGGGGCCGTTCAAGTTGGGGACAACTTTATGTCTATTATTATACCCAAGAGTTCAAGAGGGACAACCCCAAGCAAACAATTTGTCATGTTCACCACCTTGAAGTGAGAAACATGAAACTGACAAATCGGACACCACTGTACTGCATGCATTTCATACCAGTCTTAATCAGTTTCAGAGTAACTGCACAATAAAAGTACATGTGCATGTAACCTATATCTGTGACCTTGACATTCACAAAAGGAATAAAACACACATTTAATTCTGATATGTAAACATGTAAACATCTCAAACAACTGATTTATACATCTTGACCTAATTGTCATGTACCAATCTTAAGTCAAGTGGCATTTTCAGGGACACAGACCATAGACTTACTTTCAGAAATAACACTTTTATATGCTTGAAGAAAAAAAAAGTAGCAGACAAAAAGTTAAAGAGTTTATAAACATTTTTAAACAGTGATTAAATGAAGCAGATACTGCTGAACACTTTCTATGGTGATTTTAATAGTATTATACAATATTATAATAGAAACATAACAATTCCCTTTATGGGTTACTGCAATGGCAGGTCATAAAATACATTCCTCAATAGACCACTCTGGTGGACTAGTGGGTAGAGCGTTCGCCTCAGAGGCGGGAAGTCACCGGTTCGAACCCCGGCCAAGTCATATCAAAGACTTTTACAGCTGGCACCAACAGCTGCCTTGCTTGGATTCCAGCATTAAGAGGTTTGTGTTTGGAGTGGTCGGCCTGGTATCAGGATAATGTAGCGATATGACTGAAATATTGTTAAAGCTACATTAAAAATCCAATATATATATATATATATATATATATATATATATATATATATATATATATATATATATATATATATATATATATATATATATATATTCGACATCTAAACATGATACAGTATCGTCGCATTTGCTGGCGGCAAGAAAATGCCCATTCCAATCACATGCATCAGGGTCGACACTGTAGCCCTGAAACTTCTGGTAATTCATTACTCATATTCGCGGAAACGTGAAATTCTACGAAAAATGAAAGCGGAGTGACAGTCCTATCTTATATGCCTGCCTTATCTGCTATAACGCTAAATGCACTGTATTCTGATTTTACTCATTGACCAACCCAAATTTAAAAGTACCTTTTCTTTTCCTGTCCGCTTGCTTTCTCGCCGCTTATCAAACTAGGCCTATTCAAGTGGTCAAGCACTTTAATTCCTATCACAATTACCCCACCCCATCCTATTGAAGATGACCCAAAACCAGAAAGATATTCCGAACAGTGCTTTGTTTCCGTGGAATATTTGTCTTGTGCGGTAGCCTTACTTTTAGTTGTCTTAAGGTAGATTTTGAAATTTAAGGAAATTATAAAAATTATATTTGTTTGTTATTATTTTTTTTAAAAATATACATTGAACGAATCTCCTCACGAACCCAACCATAATTTTCATAACACAATCACATCAACGATCAGGACGGTATAGAACATGGAAGAGAAAGGAGGGAAGAAGCTTTTGAGTACCTTTGAGAAATTCACGAGCACAGCAAGGACTCAAGCAAAGCAGATGAAATATATTTATTAAATAGATAGTAATTACATATATGTCTCTATTCTTTGGCGTTTATTATTGTATATTAGTATAATTTACTTTATATTACTATAACAGCCCGGTTAGCTCAGTCGGTAGAGCACGGGACTCTTAATCCCGGGGTCGTGGGTTCGAGCCCCACATCGGGCGCAAAAATTTTTAAAAATATATTTTAATTTCTCATTTTAATATTTATAGGCTACTCTTTCTTCTCTTTCCACATTTATTTTTATTTTGAGAAGGGGAAAATAATTCTTCAATATATCTTTATTAATATAATGCACTCTAGGCAGGTATACTTGATTTTTTTTTTTGCAAAAATATGAAAAACATAATTGCACTGATGATATTCATCAATGGCAATAATTAAAATAAAAATTACCTCGAAGTTCATAAAAGGGATAATTAAAGATTTTATGAAACATTTAGTACAAATATAACATCTAGTTACTAAATATTATTTTTTTTTTTATAAAAAAAAGACTAATTTGTAGTCTGCAGTTGTATGCAAGAAAATAATGGGCATAAAAAATTAGATGCCAAAAATATAGAGGATATTTTGCTTGCTTTCAGTGTGTGTGTGTGTGTGTGTGCGTGTGTGTGTGTATATATATATATATATATATATATATATATATATATATATATATATATATATATATATATATATATAGATGCAATAAACTGACGACGAACAGTACGAAACTAGTAACTAACTAGCCTAAGCGCTTTCGACTCTTAATGAGTCTTTTTCAAAGGCAAATACAAAACATAGTTACGACAAACAAATAAACACAAAAACGTTGCGTTTGTAAACCTCTACATTTCTATCTTCACATGTGCTAAAACTATAAATACAACCAGCTTGTATAGACTAGTTGCGGAAACTGAAAACGTTGTATAATTCCCTAAAAGTCTACAAGCCAAAGCGACATCTATTTTTACTTTGTGTACATATGTAACGCAGATTATATCCCGGATATTTGGTTCTATACCGGTTATTCTTATAGTAAAAATTGAAGAATAAGAAGATTTAGAAAATGTTAAATTCTACTAGTGCATAGTTTTCATTTTCTAGTCTTCTTGGTTTAGACCGCTTGGTTTCAATGTTCTAAGGCGGCGTATCCAGTATGATTCCTTTTCCTTCCTGGTTTCGGAACTCCAGACTTTTAGGGAATCATACAACGTTTTCAGTTTCCGCAACTAGTCTATACAAGCTGGTTGTATTTATAGTTTTAGCACATGTGAAGATAGAAATGTAGAGGTTTACAAACGCAACGTTTTTGTGTTTATTTGTTTGTCGTAACTATGTTTTGTATTTGCCTTTGAAAAAGACTCATTAAGAGTCGAAAGCGCTTAGGCTAGTTAGTTACTAGTTTCGTACTGTTCGTCGTCAGTTTATTGCATATATATATATATATATATATATATATATATATATATATATATATATATATATATATATATATATATATATATATATATATATATATATATATATACATATATATATATATACATATATATATATATATATATATATATATATATATATATATATATATATATATATATATATATATATATATATATATATATATATATATATATATATATATATATATATATATATTTCATCTTGTTGGTGAAAAATAATGAAATATATCCGTGAAGTAATAGATTGTATTCTACAGTCTGTATGAGCAATTAAAGAACATTTTTTTTATGTCTCAATAGCTGTAGTAGTATTTACATGATCTATGAGAACAATTTTTAGCCCAGACCGCATATTCACCTCCTTTAAGTCCTCTCTTTAGACTAAACCCTGACACCAAAATATTAACCAATCAAATATAAACTTTTCTGTATGTGCTGCACCATAACGTTTTCCAGCAACAGTGACGCTTTTCTTGCTAAAAGAAGTTTCCCCTCAAATTTTGGGGGTCCTCCTTCTTGTGTTTGAAATTGTCTGCAAAATGGGTTGTCTTTTTACAAAATTGGGATGGTTTAGAACCCACCATGAGCTTCGTGAGGAAACTCCAAAGCAATATTCATGGTAAATAAAAGATTCAAATCCATTTACTTTAATCGATTTTCAGGTTATTAGACGGGAGGGGGTGTTAAAAAATTAATATAATTTATAGTTATAAAGTAATTTACACGTAATCTAAGCGTAATTTACACATGCTATTTTCTGTGTTATGTACATTGCTTAACATGTTATGTGTTAATGCTTACCACCACTCAGACAAATTCTGCCTTGGTGGCTATGCGACTGACCGGAAGATGGACTGCAATCTATTTTCGAGGTTGGAAATCGGAATCAAAAGGAGATCATCCGTCCTCTTTTTAGTTGCTCTGACTCTGTCTAGTATTGATAGAGCACCAGTTGCCTTTATGTCTGGTGTTTTGAAAGCCTACAAAGAATCACAAATGAACATTATATTGATTGATAAATACATGTGACATTTTTTTAAGATAACAATTATATTGATCCTGTGAACACAAAGATCCTATTGGACCTATCTGTGTATGCATCCTTATGATGTCCTATATAGGCTGTGTTTGGATCATATCATCTGCCTGTACATGATAATTTTAGAATGTCTTCATTGGGGTTGATAGTGTGGTATTCTTGAGTTCCTTTAGAGGCCATCTAAAGGTCATAGAGCTTGGTTAATTTAATAACATTTTTAAGCATAGAAAGTGATAACATCACTTTCAGAAAGTAATTATTGTATTGAAAGAGGAAAATATATCATCGCTAGAATTTGAAAAAAATCATTAAGTCGTGACTGAGATAAGATCAAGGATTTAGTGATACAGGACATATTGCCACTTGGTAGTTTTTAAAAGGGCCATGTGTCATTTTTCATGGACCAAGTATATTTTGCAAGATATAATTTTCCTTTGTACTGTAATGCTCTATTGTTATTTCTTGCTATGTTTACATAGCTATCTGCATCGCCAAGGTTCACACAAAAGTTGTATTACTTTTTTCATTTATGGACAAATGAAAATTCCTATAGCCAAGTCTCTGGCATGCAAGTTTTGATGTCTGTGTAACTAACTCTCTTTCATCTGATCTATTTTAAATAAAGAGTATCAGTCATATAAAGAGAATGCTATCAAACAAAGTTTAAGTGAAAGTGATTGTAATGCAGTTAGGAGAAGTCACATAGATTACGTCTTAGCAGAAAAGGAGATTAAGCACTGAATATCAATTGTCAATGCCTGATGATCATTTTCATCAAAAGACTAATTCCTCACTTTTGATTTTTGTACCTTCTTTTCATAAATATTATGCAGCACAAATTACATCCACCATATTATAAATCCTTACATGATGTTTGGATTACTTGCATTTTATCATATACATAGTGTCAAAAAATAATGTCAAGATTTTGGGATTTATTTTACTTGTCAGAGAAATATGAACTCCCATGTTAACTGTCATAAATTGTCATAAAAGCAGCTATTTTTTAATAGTCCTGCAGGGGTCACGCTAGGAGAAGTGGGCGAAAAAGTCACCAAAGAACTGTAAATTTTGCCTTCTTTTGTTAGGGAAGCAAACATGACTTTACCCTAGATTTTTTGGACAATATATGGCTGTAGATTATGACTTTTGAGATGCCCCCTCGCAGTAGCCAGCAAGTTCCGTCACTGTGAAATCCAAGGTGAAATTCATCAATACATAAATAGCAATTTGCTTTTAAAAATGTGATCGGTGAAGAGTGTTTTCTTGTGTATTTCTTGTTTTTATAAATGGAGATTTTAACAGCCATATTTGTGTATTTTCTTGATAAAAATCAGTTTGAAACTGTAAACGAAGTTGTAATGGCAGACATCATTATGTATATGATATACCACATAATAAAACTGTCTGCATTCGTAAATAATTAGGCAAATAAATTCAGGAAATATATAATATAATGAAAACAAAGTTTAAATATTATGTCATAGGAGATTTAGCCTAAATATTTAATAATGTAGGTCAAAAACACATGACAATCTCTGTTGTGGAATTTGAAACAATGCTGCAAGGTCAAGGTTGTTTCTGACCTACCA